TACTCGCTATTGACGGTGGTAATAGCATAGACGCGGGAAATATAGTAGAAATTTAAATTGTCACTATTTGCCTCCCTCTCCCTTATACGTTAATTTATCTGGGAGTAATGGCGGTTTTTCGTCCTTTGCGTAAGTTCCGCGAAGCGTCGTTATACGTACATGTTGGGAGTAACGGAGCGTGATATCGGCCGATGTCGGGAATAATCGCTCGTTGACCGCGCGTTTAGGATTCACGCAAGTTTGACGATCGATTCTCGTGCGCGCGTATTGCCCCATCCTTGTCGCGTCGACGGCCTAACAACGGCACGTCCCTAATGCCGGTGCAACTCCGTCCGCGATCTACTCAGCTGAATCGTTAATCCAATTTACTTTGCGAGGAGTTCGTGCAACTTTCGGCTATCCCGCCAGCGCGGTATGATCGGTTACTTAGGCCGACTTATGATAACCACCCTGGAAAGAACTTTGAACTCCCTGCGCGCCCCCGAAGTTCCTCTGCGCTTTCGGCAATATTTGTTTTCTCGCCGCCGACACGGGGACATTTTAACACGCGAAGCGGCGATTTATCTCGTGAAACGATGAAACGCGCAAAGAACCAATGGAAAAATCCTGTTGAATCCTTTACGTTGCCTCTTTTTTTCTCGTTTTTCGTTCTCGCGAACCATAATTGTTCTCGTGATTTTATATCACGGAAAATTTCCGTGATTGCTCCGTGCTTGCGCGACGCAAAGCGCTTGCAAAATTAGCATTGAACAGAGCTCTTTATCACATTCTCGCGTAACTTTTTCACTTTGCAAGAGGTAAACGCGAGAGAGGCAGATAATTCAAATTTACTGTGTGACTTATAGTCCGAGTTAGTTGCCGGTCAATGTATTTCTTTGGATATAGAGAGTGGATCAATAAACTCTCCAGAATGCGCGAGAAAGAGAGGGAGTGGGAGGGAAAGGGGAGCAGAGGGATGCAACGCGCAACAGAACAACACGCTCTCATCGCAATTTGAGACAAATTGAAAAATTCCTTCGCTGCAGAAGCGAGTTTTAATTCTACTCACAGCGAGCTGCAGTAGCGGGTGCCATTCAGCGTGAAAACAGTTATGAATCGCGCGTTGGAATTGTTGTTACCGTTTCCACACGGGAAATTCTCGTTTTCGTTGCTGCGCTCTCAAAGACCACTCCTTCGCGGATCCGTCTCTCCGTCCTTTAAATAGACACTTGGGGAAACGTCGATCGTACAGACGTGGGGCACCGTTCGAGGGAGAATGGTTGAAAAATTAAGAACCTTTAACGTTTTATCGCGAAGGAGTTTCCAACTCGGCTATCTGTGTAACGCAAAAAATCAATCGCGACGAGCATCGTATAACTCGTCTGGTATATAATTGAGATCATCTCTCTCTCTCTCTCTCTCTCTCTCTTTCTCTCTCTCGAGGCGCCGTGAAACTTATCGTAGAGAGAAAAACGGAATGGTGAGAGATTCGATTAAGGCGCGACGAGGTGAAACGTGTCCGTGTGTTCTTTCGTCGATGCGCCCGGAGGAAGTTGTAATACCCCTGACGGGAATTGTTATCCTAATTATCATGTCGCAGACGACCGCGAGGATCGATCTAAGGTACATGAAAAGAAGAGATATACTCTGTTACAATGTAAAACCTCGCTAGCTTGGCAAATCTCTAACTGTTCATAGGACAAATCCACTTCTGTTGATGTTACCTGAGCTGTATTGCAACAAATAATTTCGTATGTCGAGCTAATGGAGAAATTTGCGAAACACAAATGCACTGTAATTTTACCAAACAAGTCATGCACTTATTCAATAATGAAGAGATACTTCTGGTCATTTTGAAGAAGTGCGCTCCTATGAAGTTTGAATGCAAATGTAATGGGAAATATGTTATTATGCGCGTCACGCAATTTATTTTTCTTTTTATATTAACAACTGTGTGTATATGTGATATAACGCAAAAAATCACAAAAAATCTAAAATCGGGACATAAGACGTCTAAAAGACGTCTTAAAAATGTCTCTCAGACGTCGGGATATAAGACGTCTCTAAGACTTCTTTAAGACGTCTTTAAGGCGTCTTATGTCCCGATTTTAGACGTTATGTTGTGTGGGAATACTGATATGATATTGATGTAGATTATATCTTCATACATGTATGTGTATTTACATCTATAATATCTCACTGTTATTTAAATGATTGCAAAGAATAAATTCCAAGGATTTCAATTAGCATTCTTGCAGCAAACATGATTCCCTACCACACCTATAAACCATATAACTTGCTAATTATATACAACTAATCTTTTCGCCATTGTATCAGAAGAAAGGAGGATATCCAAATCGCGGTAAGATTACAATAAATTACGACACACGATTTAGTCAACATATATTGTCAAGGTCACAGTCCTAAATAATATACAAAGTTTTAATCGTTGTTTAATAAAATTGTTTAATAGAAAGATAAAATAATATTTAATAAATATTTAATAATGTTTAATAATAAAATAATGTTTAATAAATGTTTTATAATGTAAAATTGTTCAATAAATTATTTAATAAATGTTTTAATCATTACTTAGTAAAAAGTTAATAAAAAAAAAAGTTTAAAAATTTCATAGTCAACATTTCTACTGAAAGACATAATTTGCCGATTTGTATGATGTGTACTGTAAAACAGTACATGTATTGAATGTTTCCATCCCTCTTGCTGACAGTTTCCAATCCAGAAAAGCTTAGCCTAACCCAACTTAACTCATCCTAATCTACGAATATATCACTCTAACTTCGATACATATTGTCATATATTGTCAAGTATTATCAGCAAGACAATTTTCATAAGTTTTATGAGTATATAAATTTAACTACAATAAAAAGAAATTCTTTTGAAAGTTCTAAAATATCATATATTCATATGAATAATAAATGAATACATATATTAAATCTCCGCCTTACTAAATTGATTATTCATTACTAAATTTCATTACAATGTAATTATATGAAATTTAGTTATTTAAAATTTAAATGTATTGTAATTATTAAAAAATAATTATTAAAACATTAAAATGAATTAATAAATTAATAAATTATTTTTAAATTTATTATTAAATTAATATTTATAATATATTTATATATTAATATCTATAATATATTAATATCTATAATATATTATAAATGTAATTAATAGCTATAATATATTTATAGTATATTAAAAATAACTGATATACCGAAAAAACGAGCAAGACCCCTATACGCGAGATAGTATGTATTATTGAATCTCACAGGTTAAAGCATCATAACGTATTATAGATTGAAACCAAAAACATTTTTATACACAAGGATACAAATAGTAAACATCATAGATGACAAGATAGTTATCACTAGGTACACAAATAGTACAAAGAATACCCATCAAGTTTCTTTTTTAAAAATCTTGTAAATAAGTCAACAGTCATAGCGATTTTTGGTTTTTAACACGTTTAAAATACTTTCAAAAACCATTCTCATCTTGCGTCGCCAAAGTAATCTCTTCCCAAATCCTTATTGCCACTGAGGCGTATACAGTTGAAATCTGATGCATTTTGTACTATGATGTCCATTAAAAATCTCTATTACACTCTACTTATAAATTATTGCAATCTAGAAATATAAGCGGTAAAATAAATAAACTGTCTCATTGGATTTATCAAGTCCACAAAGAGCGACAAGGATATCATTAATAATATATATACTTGATAAAGTAAGCGTCGTGTTTTGGTCGTAATAAACTCGAAGTTGCACTGTTGTCAGTGCAAAAATAGACTTAGAACAGTCCGGTACTGCGCCATTATGACTGTTCTATAATTCCTGAATGTGGCTGGATGTGGCAGGCATGAATCCAATATTTCAGAACCAGCAGTGTCGCTGAGCGATATCTGCGTGGTTCTGGGTAAACTGATGACAAAAATAAGTAATTGTTTCATACTATATTTATTCCTAATTTATTTCTTTATTCGATTATATAATATTTTTAATTAGCAATAATCAATACTCGCGGCAGTAATAATACATAAATACTTAATTATTAGTATTAATTTCTTGAAAAAATTCGTAAATATCTCGTAAATATTTTTCGACTATTTAAACTAGAACCTCTGCTTAAAGCAACAATCCTCATTGAAATCCTTGAAATATTTATTCTTTGCAATCATTCAGATAATATAGTAAGATTTTATATAAATATAAACATAAAACGTGAAGATAAATATAATTTACATTAGTATATTATAGCATACATACATACAGTTGTTAATATGAAATGAAAAATGAATTGTGTAATGTGCATAATAATATATTCTTCATTACGGACATTTGCATTCAAACTTCATAGGAATGCACTTCTTCATAAAACAAACAAAGATATTTCTTCATTGACTATTAATTATGTGTATGATTTGCTTAGTAAAATTACAGCGCATTTGCGCAAATTTTGCTTCGCAAATTTCTTCATTAGCTTGACATACGAAATGATTTATTGCAGTATAACTTAGATAACATCAACAGAAGCAAGTTTGTCCTACGAGCGGTTAACGTTTAACTTTGCCCAGCAAACTATTGATTTGCTAAATCAACCAAACTAATGTTTTCCATGTAACCGTGCTGATTTCCGACGATCATAATTAAAATACAAACAAACGATAGTTTGAATATACATAAAGAAGATGCAATGAGAGAAATTATCCGATAAAAAATTAACAAACTGATATTTCCGATCAAAATATCGATGAATTTTTATATCCGATTAAATTTAATCGAATACTTTCGATCATAATGGCTATTTTCATAATGGTAATTTATCATGATGATTATTTTATCAAATAATTGATCAAAAAGTTATGAACCGGTATTTCATCGGATGTTTCCTGATCGGATATAAAAACTCGTCGGTATCTTAATCGGAAATATCCATATTTATTAGTATTTTATCGTATAGTTTCTCTCAGTACGTGAAGAATAGAGAGGAAATACCGTTCTGCAAGTTGATGGTTCGCCATAAGCCACTTTTTTTGACAATATCCGGTATTCGGAAGTTGTACTCCAGGTTACCAGCCTCCTCGCTCCACAGCAGCTTTAAGGAATTGTGCTCCAGCGGCATGAGCTTCACGATCGGACACGAATCGACAATGTACGAGCTGCTCACCGGGGACTTCACCAGGTCCGTTCTGTGCTCCAAGACTTCCACGACGTACCACTTGCCCATTATCTGTAACGAGACATTTTCTCATGTGATCGCACTGCCGATCGAGACGAATCAGCGGAGCACGCTCGCGATCGGCGAGACGTACCAAAAGGCTCGTTCCTCCTGTTCGTATTTTGCCGAGCGACAACACACAACCCACGTCGCGGAATCGAAGACGTCGGTTGCACGCCGACGGAAGAAAACGCGCGCCGGAGAATCGACCGGCGAGATAATCCGGCAAGTTTGGCGCGGAGTTAGGTCGGTATAGATAATTCCGTGAGGAGCTTAAAGCAAATTACGGGCGATTTATTGGCGGGACGGCGGCTGGTGATTAAGTCCGCGGAAATAATATTGGACGGGTGTGGAATAACCGCCGAATCTCGAAGCGGGTTCGTGGCACGATATAAGATTTTAATTCGCTGGATCGACCTCGCCGATTTTGCAGACACGTCTTCGCCTCGCTAGAAGAATTTCGCTGATCGAATCGCGCGATATCGTTGATTTTTTTTAGAGTTCTGATACTCTCTTGAAAAGTTCTAGAGCTCTATGCAACAATTTTAAATAGTTCCGGTCATTAAACACAAAAAAATAGACTTTCAAAAAAAGGTGCGCTAAGTTCACGCAGCGCCCCTAATCAGTAAAATTAATTATTTCTTTAGAGTTCCGGTTTGTTTTTCAATAGTTCTAGAGTTCTATATCATATATAACAATAGTTTTAAAGAAATAGTTGATTTTACTGATTTGGTGTGCTGCGAGAACGTAGCGCACCTTTTTTTAAAAATCTATTTTTTTGTATTTAATGACCGGAACTATAGTACATAAATTCCACATCAACCGGAAAATTTTAATGTTGAGTATTTCGGCTGAGATACAGTATTATTCGCAACTACTAAGTAGAATCAATTAGTACATAAGTTAATTAGGAAGGGATAGTGAAGAGTTTAATTAATATTAATAAATGGGATTTGGACAGGGTTGGAAAAGTTAATTTTAATATATAACTCGTTCACTTATTAAATTACTCGTCACTCGTTACCATTATTCATTACTCTTAAAATAAATAGCTCGTTACCGTTATTGCTACTCAAAAAATAATAAATCGTTACAGTTTCGTTACTTCTCCCACGAAATTTTGAAGTTTTTTTTAGGATTCGCTTCTACCCTTTCAATACACATGCAATCAATACGTGCAAACACTGTAAATCAAAGCGTGTTATTTTTTGCACGTATAAACGTCTAACAATAACATTTTGACTGAAACTCTTTCTACGTTTTTTTCCGCTTTAAATCACGTTATTCAACACGTTTAAATTATAAAGTAGTACGTTCAAACTATTAAATAACGTAATTTGAAATGGCGAGAAATGTGTAAAAAGAGTTTCAGTCAAAATACAAATTTTACACTTAAATTTAGAATGAAGTAACGATTATGTTCATAGTTACCGTTACTAATAAACAACAATAACGTCATCATTAAGTTGTTAAAGGAAAAAAGGAACTTGTAACGATAACGCGTTTTCCAATCCTGGCTTCAGTTCGACATGAAAGGCAGATTCACCGTGTACGTTGCAAGCTCAAAAAATACATTGGTTAACACAAAAATTATTTACTTGATCTAAACCGTCAATCGTAGTTAATATTTTGTGATGATAATCACAAATACAAGAGCCAAATTAAAATTTAGTTCTATAAACTTATTTAATGCCTATAATATAATAAACAACATAAAATTTCTTCAAAATTAACTCTTTAGTACTAAAATATTAGAATGTCTGATGGAGCCATTTTGTCTCCTTTGAGATCTTTTTGTTGACACCATTTCTGTTTCTTGTGATTTAGAAAAAACATTTCTCATGATTTTTAATCACTTTTATAATAAAACACATTGAAAAAGTAACGAGAGAAATCAGTAATATTATAATAAATTATTTTATAACTTATCTTGAATAGCTAAGAAAGAGTAATTTTGACTTTTTATTTAATTGATCATAGTTATGCAAGAGAGAATAATCCAATCCACAAAATTCTGATTTTTTTTTTAGTTTTTGTTTTACTAATGGGTGGTTCATATATCTTTCTACGTAAAACAAACAAAATCCAAGCTTTATGAAGTTTTAATTCTTATAAGCGTCTAACTTTATTAAAACTTAATTTATAAAATTTTATTAAAAACCAGTTTTTATTTTCTCTACTAGTGTTTTACTAGTTGCGTCTTTTTTATCCATTTTTAAGAGTTAAGTCAATAAATACTTTTAAAGAGAAGAAAATTAACTATGCTCGGCTTTTTGAATAATTGCGAAGAATCTCAGTGCTATTTATACTTTTTATTAAATCATCTATCAAATTTTCATCTTTATTTTTTTTTAATAAACTCCATGAAGGTTGGATCATTCTTACATAATTACGATCAGAGTCTACAGAGTCTACAGTTAAGGAAAAATTTATGAAATTCTTGAATCTATAAAGGAAACAGACACATCTCTTTGGAAAGGACGCGACTCGCACCGCGAGTTTTTTCACCGAGTGAAAAACGTCGAGGTGGTCGCGAATTGCGTACGTGTACGTGGCTCACCTTTATTACGCCGGAAAAGCGCCATGAATCATTGTTGCCGACGTGTAAGTGATACCGAGCACTATAGGTCAGCCCGTGCGGTCGGGGGATTAAAATTAACGAGATAATAAATATGGTCTTTGTCGAACGAGTCGCAAAAAAAAGCTTCCAGTCACCATACCGTGAGGACCAAATACGTTGCGGAACAAACAATTGCGTTCGCGGCTTTCCGCCAGAAACTGCGAACCTTTTGTAACAAACGTTTCAATTGCACATATCATGTTGACATTAACGAGTGGTCGCGACTAAATAATGTAATAAAATGGTCGCGACACTCGTTACACAACGATGAGAATTTTTCGCCCACGATCTTTTGAGACCCAAGGCGAGAGGGGAGAGAGGGCGAAAATATGAGTGTGCATGTGTGAATACACGCGTGCGCGTGTAAGATAACAAATTTCTATTCTTAACGTAATTTCCGCCCGGTCTTTACTCAAGCACGGAATCTTAATGTGACTTTAAATCATCGAGATATCTAGAGTCGAAAGTTTCAAAGACGTGAAATGAAAAAAATGAATCTGGAAACCCACTGTCAAAAGAAGAAAGAGAGAAAGAGAGAGATTTATCTTAATTTTATTAAAAATTAAAAAACTAAAAGGTAAACGATCACCTCGTATAACGAGGAACTTTGATGCGTGTATAATAATGAATTTTGCTGAATTTTGTCTTATTGTCGAATCTTACAAATAAAACGTACGGGTGCGCGCACACAGGTTACTGTACGTTAACATTCAGGAAAGTTTAATCACACTGCCGCTCTCAAAAAGGATAAGACTATAAGACTGAGAACGCCCGGGCCAGATAGCCCGCATCATCATCGCGCGCCGGCCTCCTAATTTAAATCGCTAACAATAGGTAGATAAACGCAAGCCATCGAGTTACCTTCATTCAAGTTGCAAAAGTAGTTCGAAAAGTTTAATCGATGCTCAGCGGCAGAGCGACCATTATTACACGTAACGCGATTACACGTCCCCTTGGACACTTCCGATTAGTCATTAAATTACCACGAAACCCTGAAGCCGCTCGCCCACACCGTTCCCGTCGAGAAGGTCCGTGAAATATGACAGTCACGTGTAACGACACGGTAAAGCTGCCGTTACCCCGACTTTATTTTTCCTAATAAATTTAGGTCTTAAGGGGCAGGGGCATGCCGAAGTGAACGATGAGCTCCAAAAACGTCGATAATATAGAAGCGATCGTCAGATAAGCACTCTAACACGATCACGTGTCCCTTTTCGTGTTATTCATTTTTGCACATACATTCCTTATGTAAAAGCATTTGTAATTCTGTACGACTTAAACTTTGCAGAAAAAGTTTTTAGTATTTGGTCGGTAAAATTTTCAAATGTAGCATCCCTTTAAGAGGATGCCTGAATGGATGGCAAACTTTAAAAACGTCGATAATGTAAAGACGATCGTCGAGACGTCATGTCAGATAAACACTGACACGATCACATTCCCCTTTACGTATTTCTCGTATTCTCACAGACAGAAAAGTTGTATGCAGTTTTTTATGTTTGTAAATTCTCCATCTTGTCCAATAGAAAAAATTTGTTTTTCGACGGGAGAATTCTATCATTGGATGAAATAGATGAGCTTACAAACGCAGCCTAAAAGTTACAGATAACAAATTCTATGTTCATGAGTATATATATAAATCTTATATAAATGTGTGCTGCTTTGATTTATTATATTTAGTGGAAAACATAAGCCCGGATATATAGAAATGTTTCTGCAAATTTTTGGCATATTTTTAAACCTTTAAATTGTGTTGTAAAAAAATCGTGTTGTATAGCCATGATTTAAAAAATTTTCTGAGCGGAGTTTGGTATGTACAAGCTGCAAAACTTTTGTATCAAGCAAATATTCACTAACCGATAGCTCGAGGTGTCAATTTTGAAATTTTTTCTCGTTTTCGCTACATATTGAACGATACTCCAATTCGTTTTTATACGTGTGCACGTGCACGTGCACGTACAAAAGCATTTTAATTCTGTGCAATCAATACGACATAAACTTTACGAACAAAAGCCAGTGTTTTATTGATAACGTTCTCGAGTACGCCATCCTCTTGATTGTTGATGTAGAGGGTTATGTGTTTTTTTTTTTTAATATTTATCTTGAGAGGAATAGTAAAGACAAAATCGTGAAATGATCTTTTTAGAACATAAATATTTTTCTCTGAGTTTCATTAAAATCGGAATAATATTACAGTTAAGAAATAGAAAAAAATTGATTTGGTAATAGCAAAGTAAATTTTTGAACTTCTCGAAATTTTGTATTAATATTCTCTATCGTGGCTGAATAAAATTAAGTGATATGTCACTAGTTAGAATGAAATTTTTTGCAAGTGTATGATATATTGTTTCTGGCAATAAACTGACAATTCTGGAATTTTCACTTGTAAAATGAT